TATAAATCTATCTATCTATCAATCTCTCTCTCTCTCTATATATATATATATATATATATATTACTCAGTTTTGATCAATTTGAAATTCTGTTGTGTTAGTGTCCTTCAATATATGATCCCCCTTGGAGAAAGACACCTGAGAATGTTGCTACAGAATTTGATCTAATGTGTAATGAAAGTTGTCACATCTGTCTAAGTAGACATGCCACACAGAGATAGAGAAGGCAGTCATTATATGCAGCATTTATGCAACAGCTATTGCAAAAGACGCCAAACATTGCCACTTCTGTTCAAGAGAGAGTAATAAATGCCCTAGTAGGATATTTGGCTAACAGATGCTGTCCATATTTGAGGATAGATGAAACAATGACATTGCTTAAATCATAGTTGCAGCCACCATCACCATCATCCTCATTATATATATATATATATATATATACTAGCAGCATGGCCCGGTATTGCCCATGCTTGATTCAAAAATCATACAACTCATACAGCAATCGCTATCACTTGACTTAAAATATTTTTGCCCTTCCTCGCCTTTAAAGGAGTGCCCTTTGCCATGCTGATGTTGCTACATGCCTTACTTCTTGCCTTTCTCACACTGTGAATTTTTTCTAAGCTCTATACTAAGCATTAAATCTGTTACGAAAAAAGAACTAAACAAAATGAACACAAAACAATCAACTTTAAAAAAGGACCATTCTTTTTTCATTCGATTTTTCCAGTTATGAAACTGGAAAAATTGAATGAAAAAGGAATGTTAACAACAAATACTTTTTCACGCTTAACCCAGTTCTGCAGAATCAGAATCAACGTTGAGTTTAAGCAAGTGAATGAGCCAATTGGAGTAAAGTGCCATGCAGATTTTAATTTTTCCAAATTGTGACAAATGCACCTATCGATTTTTTTTTTTTGCATGCTAGCATGCTAGTTAAGTTTCGTCAGTCAGTTGTTGGCTTTCATGCTGGACAATAGAATCTTCCTGCCTCTTCATAGCAGCCAGCTATAGGCTCTCACTTTGGCCAGTACAAAATGGCCACAAACTACATGAAAACTGCCATAGAAGCATGAAAAAATTGATTATTTCCATTATCGATGCGAGTTGGGAAATGCAAAGTTGGTCTTGGCCTTCCCGCTAACTTGGAGCATGTGCATGTAAATTTTGGTGCAAATCCATCGAAAATTGCAGCTGTGCATTCGTTACACACACACACATCCTGCCTTTTATAGCTAGCAATATGTATAAATATAATTCTGTAAGTTCTGTTAGTCTGTCCAACCCTCCAAAATAGCCATACATCTACTGATCAAAACTAAATTTTGGGAAGAAGTGCAAACAGGTAAGAGAGTACAAAGTACAGTTGGTTTTACTAGAGTGCAATAAATTTTCATTAATTTGGGGGGGAATTTTTTTAACATACAAAATACTCCCACTCTTTTAAAAACAGTTGAATGATTAAAATAACAAATACTTATTTAATAAAAATGCAACATTGTTTTTTTGCGTATATTTTCTTTAAGTTTTCATATATACAAGAATCCATTTTCCAGTTCACTCTGCATTTGTGTGAACTATAAACAAATCACAAGGTCGAACACTTCAAAAAATTGGAATTTGGCTCCAGAAAGAAATATTTACACATGAAAAAAAAGGAAAAAAAGAAATTTTCTTAAAAAATATTGTTTACCATGAAGTTTTATTAAATTAAAAAAAAAAATTAAACCCCAAAGTAGGATTTTTGTCAAAGTATATTTCCAAAGAAATCAGCTTACTCAGATTGTTTTGCAAAATTGAATAAATAGTAGTTTCTAAATTTCAATAAAAATGTTAGTGATAACATAAAAAATACTAAATACTTACTGTGAGGATTTCAGCACACATTGCCAAAAATTTTAGAATCTTACTTATAATAAAACGCAGATTGTGTGTGTGTGTCTGTACGTTTATATATTGGATCAGATTTCCTACATTTTTCAAACCGATTTCAACAAAACATCACAGGACTACATAAAATTACCTTTAAATGATTCTGACAGCGTAAAAATTGGAAAAACACAATTGTTTTTGCATGAAATCAATTTGAAAACATGATTAAGAGGCATCACGAGAATGAAAGGGAGACAACTCATATCGAGTTATACTTAAAACCCAGGTTGTTTGTGTGTGTGTGTGTGTGTGTGTTCCTTTATATATGGGATCGGATTTCCTACATTTTCAACCGATTTCAACAAAACTTCACTTTTTTTTTGGCAGGTAGTGTTTCTTATTGTCTTGCACACTTTTTTCTTTATTTTTTATATTCAGAATGCTTTAAAAATTCCATTTACAAGACAATTATTGATAATAAAATTCTATTCAATCGACTCATAACGATTGAAAACAATGTTTGAGTTTGGGTTTGACAAATTCGTAAAAAATAACAAAACAAAAAAAAACTAATTAAGACATGCGTGTCCGTCAACCTTAAACAATAATCTTTGTCAATTTTATTTTTCAGTCTTTATGATGGTCGATACTTGATCTATCTCTTACTGTTACATCCCGGCAATGCGGGTTCTACTGCTAGTATATATATATATATATATATATATATATATATATATATATATATATGAAGAAATATAGTCTTAAGATGTGCTATATTTATGGGATGAAGTGCTCAATATCAGAGATAGAACGTGTGTAAATATAAAAAGTGAACATAAAGTCAACACTTAATATTTTTACAGTCTGTTTCATGCTAGATGCAATCGTCAGGTGACTCGTGGCCTGACGATTGAAACAGACTATCGCCTCTAAGTGTTGACTTCTATGTTCACTTTTATATTTATATATATATATATATATATATATATATATATATAAAAAAAATAGTCTTAAGGTATGCTATATTTATGGAATAAAGTGCTCAATATCAGAGATAGAGCGTGTAAATATATAAAAGTGAACATAGAAGTCAACACTTAGAGGTGACAGTCTGTTTCATGCTATATGAGGCCTGACGATTAGCATATAACAGACTGTCGCAGTTGACTGTCTTTTTTATATATATATATATATATATATATATATATATATATATATATATATATATATGAGAGAGAAAGCACTGAGGCTATGCAATTGAGTATTATCTGTTTCACCAAAATGTTAAATTTACACTCCATAAAAATCTAAATTCATCCCATTTTAAAAATTTTCTTGAAGGATAGGATCAAAAATGATAAAAAATTCTCAATATCTTTTTGTACAATAATTTTTCAATTTTTCTCAAAAGAATGTAATGTTTCTAACACCACAAATTAATGTAATAGAAAAACAGTTAGCTAATTGAAAATAATAGCGTGGGGCCCACAAAAATCCAAACAAAGCCCACACGCACTCCTTCAATGTACCATGTCCCTTCAGAATGTGGGTGATCATGGCTCTTAGCAATTTCCTGTCCTTTTGTAGCCTTAAGTAAATTTTGTCTTTTTCACTATTTCTCCTAAACACTGTTCTTCTAATCCAAACAAAGCCCACACCCAGTTCTTCAATGTTTAATGTCTCTTCAGAATGTTGGCAATCAGAGTTCCCAGCAATTTCCTGTCCTTTTTAGCTCTTAGTAGTTTTTTACATGACGGCATGACGTGAATGCGTAATGAGGTTCACGTTGCATTCTCAGAACGCAAGGTTTGCCGTTTTTCGGAATTTTCGTAAATTTAATTTCGCCGTTGCACAGTTGAACTAGTTTGTCTACAACACTTGTATATCGTTATAATGGGGGGGGCGGTGTGCAACTGAAACCGTTGAGAGGAAGGCCCCGAAACAGTGCACATTCTCTCCTGATGACCCCAGTTTAAAATTCAAGAGGAACACATCAAAATTCAGTGAAATCATATGCCGTAGAGAAGCTCGGTGGAAGTGTCATTGGCATGAGGAGCATTATACATTCAGCTCGCTTCAGGTGAGTTTCAATTACTTTCCAGTAATTTCCTTCTTTTCACTATCTCTCCTAAACCCTGTTCTACCAACAAGCTCATTAGATGATGCACTGTTTTCCTCTGTCTTTCTTGCCTTCAGTATATCCTGTGAGTATCAAATTTTCTAAGCCCTCTTTCCGCTGTCATGTTGAATTTCTGTCACCTGTTAGGGGTAGGGTTAGAGTAAATAAACTGAAGGAGAGAACCAAAATAAGAGGGGTTGATGAACATACATTTTCTAGCTACTACAAAAGCAGTCATCCATCTCAACCCGACACTTAAAAGGGAGCCCAGTAAATAAAAAAAAACATGGATGAATGAAAAAACATTTTTTCCAGAAATAACCAGCAACAAGATTTAAGTTAATAGATGATATTTATTTGATTCTCCTAATGATGAAACATGACACAGGGTTAGTTTTTAGGGTAGGAGTATCTGTGTACCCTTGCAGTTTCTTGATATAGCACATGGCTCAAAATTGTAATTCATTATTAATAATCCAAAAATAACCTGATTCTCTTCTCTATTTCTGCACACATCAGGGTATACTAAAGGCCTTCATCTTACTGTAACTACAATGGAAAGATGGGGAGACAATGGGAAGTAAAATTGCAGTTGATAATGTTCACCCAACTGCCATTCAGTTGCTCATCTTATAGATTTAATCCACAAAGTGTTAAAAATATAGAAACAGCTACCTAATAACATATAGCTTCACCCTTTGCTTGAACACTAGCAGCTATGGGACATATTTTTTTTGATTGATTGATTGATTCAGTCTTTACAGCTTATCAACCTTTTGCAGGTTATTTAAAGCCAGAAAATATTTTTAGAGTGTAAGAGTTTTATTTTTTATTTTTGAGATAATGATTTAGTGATACAAGTCTTACTAATTAACCCATAGCTGGAGAGAGAAGAGGTGGATTCATATCTTTCCCAAAGGTATTTGCATATAAGTAAATATAACAAACCCAATGGGATTGGAATTTGACTCTCCAATTAACAATTCTGAGCTATTATCCATTACATTCAAGCCTACAGCACCTGGTATTCTCAGGTGGTCACTCATCTAGGTACTAAACAGGCGTGACATTGTTTAACTTTGGTGGTCATACAAGAACCACTGTTTCAATGTGATATGGCCATAAAACTTATGGACATAGTATGGAGTTTCCAAGGTGATGGAATCATTATGTAATCATATTTATCCAGACATATTCCAAGTATAAATGAGTTGTATGTTCGATGTGGCTACAGGGAATTTTATGAGATCTGCAATATGTTCTGTACATGCTCAATGGCACTGAAATCTAGCAAGCATAGTGAAGTACCTGGAAATCAGCTGAGTGTTCCAAGAACCAGTTTCATGATACCTGTACATGATGGTGAAGTTACAGGGACAAACCATTACCATCAGCAAATATGGCAAGCCTAAAGGGATGCAAATAGACTATAGCAAAATCCATATATGCCATACCTGTCAAGATAGACTCTTATGGTTCTTGTAAACAGCAACAAAATACAGCCCTCAATATTACAGAGTCACTATCAGCTTGCACAGTACCCTGCCAACAGGCTGAATCTATAATCTTGTGTAGTCTCTTCTGTATACACCCACCATGAAATTCACTGTAGACTGTTAGGTTAAGTGGTATCAACATTGAATTGGGAAGTGATTTGATGAAGTGTTCTGCTTTGTTGAGTGGTTAACATCCTTGTTAGTTGCTGGTAGTTCTATTCTTACATCACTTATGAGTACTTGCAGATTTCACATGTTACTGATGTCTATGTAGATTTGAAATATGTCCTTGCTATTATTTCCTGATAAAAACTTATAGCAGATGCCTCCTCAAAGATAATCTCCCATCTTTTTTACCTTAATAATCATTTCACTTTCAAATAGTGTTAAACCTTATTCACATCCTATAGCTGCCACAGCTACACTACCTCTTTACCTATTACATCAAACATGCTTCATCCAGCTGAGCTTATGTCTACAAATGGTGGAAGATGAAACAATTAAGTGTCTATAATTTTTTCACATTTCAGTTTACACACTGCCAAAGAAAATGGGGCTCATTGTTCTAGATTGAATATAAAAGGATAATATAATATATAATATAGGACAATTCATTGCCAGTAAATTTTCCACTGTTCAATTTGTTGTGAGGTCAGTGACTTAATTGGACAATTTGTTTCTGATATCTCCCATAATTGGTTTACGCTTGTTGATTTGAACAATACTTGTTGGGTCAACATGGCTCACCATTTCAAAGAAAGGGAAAAACAATGTCATGGATAAAGGAAATTGTATATAAGAAGATATATAGACAGACAAATAAATAGAATATTGATGGATCTACAATATAATGGAAAGCTGAAAATTGTTCATGCATGGTTAAACATCAGACTAATGAAAATTATGAAAAGCTTTGGAGATTATGAATGTACAGGTAGTGTAAAGGTCATTGGTGCCTAAAGTGGAATCAGCGAGCTGATTTCAACTTCCTCCTAGCCTGTTGCATTCATTTTTCATATTATTGGAAAGCATAAATCCATCGCTTTCCCCTACAAGCTATGGGTTAAATAGTAGACTAAACTCTTAGATGGCAACCAGTTTAAGAGAAAGAAAAGTCTGAATTCCAAAATGTGGAGAAGGTAATGGGAAACTACTCCACTATCTTTCCCAAAACTTCATGGTAATTTGTAGATAAAGGAAATAATGGAAAGCCATGATCACCAACATACTTAATGCATATGGCACAAAAAAAAATTAGACATTATATTATATAACTATGCTTCAATGGCAGCAGAGATAAATGCAAGAATTTTCTTTTCTCTTATAAAGAATTGATTCAAAGAGAAGAACTTACTAAAAAACAAAACAAAATACAAACAGGGCTGGATTAACCTTTTGGGGTCCCCTAGACTAATGAAATTATGTATCCCTCCCCCAGACAGAGCCACGCTCTAACTTGCCCACACCCCTTAAATATTTTTTTACTTGTCATATATTTTAGCAAAATTTACATAACTTGAAGTTCTTGCAAATTTTTTAAAAATATCTGCTGTTAACCAGGGCAGAGAATTGCCTCTTAATTTTAACTCCTCCAAAATGCAACTTCTCTCTGTTAATCATCTGACTGACCCTTTTTGCATCCCATCAGCATGACTGATACTAACCTCCAGGAGAGTGACTTGTTGCACCTTCTTGGGCTAACATTCTCGGCTGACATGAAGTGGAAAGAATATATTGAATCGGAGGCAAAGGTCAGCTGCTAAGAAAGTTGGTTCACTGTATTATGCTAGACTATCTTACATATTTATAAGTCTACCATTCAGCCATGCTTTGAATATTACTGCCACACATTGTCTTATGCTCCTGCTATATATTTAGAGATTCTTGATAAAATCCAAAGAAGAATCAGCTTTATTATTGGTTCTGACCTGGCTTCTTGGCTTCAGTCCTTTTCCTACTGCCATAATGTTGCTCCCCTATGCCTTTTCTATAAATACTTTCATGGTAATTTTTCTAATGAATTGTCTGCTATGGTACTTATGACGTTATGAATTTAAGTGCTGTACTAGATTGGCATCAAGGTCTCATCAATTCACAGTTGAATTGGCTAGATGTAACAATAACTTCTATCCTAGCTAACAGTTTCTTTTCTTACACTTTTTGCTTGTGGAACATCCTTACAGCTCCATGCTTTCCAGACAACTTTGATCTTCAAAAATTTATATGCCATGTTAATCATTTATCTATTATCATCTTGATTACTCTTCTGCTGTTCTCACTCTGTGATGTTTCTCTTTTTTTTCTTTTTCTTTCACACTCAATAACCTCTTGTGTCTTAGTAGCTTTATTGCCTTGCATGGGGTGAAATGATTTAAGTAATACCACTATTTTACTATTTATTGCAGACCAAATTAGTAAATATTTCAACACAGCCATAGTAAAAAAAACTGATTTTTTATAACCAGCATTATAACAAAACAATAATATTATTTCAGTTTATGAAACTATTTAGAAGTTATAACATCTAGAAAATTGAAAATCATTGATTTATAAAGGCTTGAAAGGCTTTAGACTGCAGCCTACACTAACCTAAAGGATAATCTAGCCCTGAATACAAAGCTATAAACCAGTGTCTAAGAAACGTGATTAAGATTGTTGGTCTTATCCATGTTATTTGCAATCAGATTAATGTCTTCATCTTTATTTTTTCATAATCTTTGCAAAGGAATTCACAGAGAATAAGTATGATATAGCAGGTTTTAGGTGTAAAGGTCTGAACTGGTGGAACTAAGGAATATATTTTGCCAGAACATTTTTCTTGGAAATAGTGATAGAGTAGAGAAAGGCTTGCAACATTGCTTCTGTGAGAAAGAAGTAAATATATTTTAAACTGATGCTTGGATTACAGTCAGACTAATGACCTCATCTTTATTGTTTTGATGACAATGTTTCAGCCATTGTAACCTTTAGCCTTCTTCAGGTATTTATCATTCCAGGGAATTTCAGTCTATGGAGGTAGATTAATCTGTTTTAGTTCAGAATTCCATGAATGTTATCAGAATTAACAAACACTTGAAGAAAGGCAGTGAGTACAACAACCAAAACATTGTGATAATAACAACAAAGATGAGGATATTAGTCACACCATAGATAATAAAAATAATGATAATTCCTCATCCCATAAATTCAGGTAGAAATCATCAAATTGGTACAGACCCAGTGTGATATGCCAATGGAGGTGACAATAATAACAAAGATGAGGATATTAGTTCAAATGTAAATAATAACTCCTCATTGCATAAATTCAGATAAAAAAAATCCTGTTGGTATTGAGTTTTTTTTTGTTTTTTTTTGGGGGGGTTTGTTTGTTTTTTTTTCCCTTCAAACCAGACATGTCAATGCTTGGAATTTTCTTTTCTAGTTTTTTAAACTTTTCTTTCTTTTATCTATTTTGTGCATTCAGTTCTTTCTGTCTTCATCTAAATCTTTCTATCTCGGTTGTTTTCCTCTCAAATTGCCTTGTCACATTCTTCAGAATCAAAATTCCTGAATCCTGTCCAATGACCTTTTGCCATAAGATTGTTGGCTGACCTTTGGCATGTGAATGGCATGGAATGGTTGACTCAAACTCTGAGACAAGCGCACATATATACATAGGTACATCAGTAAGTTCATAACCGAATTGTGAAGAAAACATTTATTTTATACAACCACAGTGTTCTTTACTTCAGAACAAGTCATAGTGCAACTAAAGGCAAGAGCAGGATGCCTGTTGTCATTGCATTGGGAGTAATGATTTTTAGTTTTGGTTTGGATTTGTGGTAGTTCACTACTGTCATTGGCTTAAAAGATGTTTGCATTTTACACTTCGAATAACTTTAGTATATTTAATTAAAGCAATTATAATATTTTTTTTTTTTTTTCAAACTATATTATCTTATGTTTTTGTTGCATAAACAAACTATTTTGTGCAAAATTCACTAAAAAGATGTAATTCAGAAAAATGCTTCTTGTTATTACAAAGTTAATTTAATATTTTTCACTTAAAGTTAATTTATGAAAATTTTTATTCATAAAAACAAATGCACTAATGATAAACTTTTTTGTAACAAATGAAGAAAAAAATGATATTTGTGCATAAGTAAATGTAACGAACCTAACTCTAGAAATGGAACTCAGCTCTCCAATTAACAATTCCGAGCGATTATCCATTATATCACCTGCACATCCAAACTTAAAGCAACTGGTATTCTCAACCAGTCACCCATCTAGGTAATGACCAAGCTCAACATTGCTTAATTTCGGTAATCATACCAGAACCACTGTTTCAACATGATATAGCCATAGGAAAATTGATAGATTGGTGTGTGTGTGTGCATGCATGTACACTTAGGTGCATAATACAAGGTGGAAATTGGAAAATCATTTGAAGGATCCAAAAAAGCACAAAATAAGATGAGAATGAAAAATTTCCTCAAAAAAAAAAAAGCATTCTATGACTTTATTCAAGACAATTTTTGGATTGATATTTTTAACCCTCATATTGAGAATTGTGCTACAGAGATTTCTTCTTGGGTTAAAGCCAGCATTGATGCTTTTGTACCTTCTCACAAATATCTAGTGAAAAC